GGGCCAGGAGAGGTCTGGCTCGCCATGTGGTCTCCTCCGGGGCAGGAGGCAGATGGGAATCGAACTCATGCGGAAGTGGCTTCAGATTCTCAGTGCTGTGCTTTAACCCGCTGCGCCATTTATAATTGTATTAAATAGTGGTCCATCTTAGTTTTGAAATAATGTTTTGTAAATCTTTTTTTAGTATTAACTCAATTTAATAATATCCTCATTTTTAGGAAACAAAGACTAATAGATTACATGTACAATTATATGAATAAAACTTATAGCTTATTAGGGTTACATTTACTGAAAACATAATTTTTATACTAGTTCCAATTATATTTGCTATATACTATATCTAATTTCTTCTTAAAAATATTCTTAAGTTTATGTCTTTTGATAATGCAGACAACATATGAGCATCTGTTCACTTTTCAAATGTTGTATTTGTGTGTTTGAAGTAAGTGGTTAATTTTCAGTCTCAGCAATTCTAGTAATGATTGTATTGCTTGTAAAAAATGTAAATATTGCTTTTGTTTGCTGGAGTTCAAACCGTCTTAAAGACATCATAGGCTGGTCTAGCAGAGAACGGGAACTCTGATCAAGACAGATAGATGGCAGGATGTTTGACTTGGGGATTAATACAGTGGAAGAAGTTAGCAGGTAAATAGTTACTGTGATAGTGAAGGGTCTTTATAGGTAATGGTATATAAATTGCTGGTATTTACTACTCTATCAGTCTAGGCAGTGTACTCGGGATTTTCTTTAACAGTACATGTTTCCATCAAACCTTCTATGCATAGAAAGAGAAGGATAGTAGAGCCCTGAGGAGGCTAGGGTCATTCCTCGCTCCCTTCCCACCCCCTCATTTCTGATTGGCATCCCAGTTTAGGAGAATATTATCTTATGTTCTTTTCATGACATTAATAATTGACAGTTTTGCATACCCTCTGTGCAATCCTTCTCATTTCATGTCTCTTTAATTAAAAAGGGAATGATTTAACTGGGTGTTTATAAAAATAGTAGATATTTAATCAGACACAAAGATGATGAAATTTTGTTTTGTTATATGGTACTAATCATTCATTGTCTAACATTCCACAGCTAATTCAAGGTTTTCTTTTAAACAGGAAACTGCTTTAAAGAATAAACAGGAGCTTTGTGTACCATCTCCTCCTCCCCAGTTCTACTCAAACCTTATTGAAGAGATAGGAACTATTGGTTGGGATAAGTATGTCTGTTTTAAAAATGCCGTATTTTACACATTTTATGCCAGTATATTTGTAGTGTTAACAAATTACTTTTTACCCATATTTAGTCACTGTTCTTATAATTAGTGTCTGATCCTTATTGTGGCTATGAATTAGAGGATATTATTAAGGAACTTGATCTATAGGTAAAATGCTAAATGTAATTTGGAAGAAGTAACTTTTTGTACTGAAACATACATTTTTACTTTCTCATTTTATTGAGTACTAATTGAAAAAATAATTGTAATATATTTAGAACATACAACATCTATAAGTTCATATACATATACATTGTGGATTGCCACATCTGCTACTTCACATATTTGTCCCTTTTTCTATAAATTTTTGTATCTGCTTTCTTATTGCTACCATGGAAGGGAGAATTTAAGAATTTGACAGTCATTTGTTCTGAAATCACCCAATATATTTAGATTTTTTAAATTTTATTTTAAAATTAAAAAAAAATATTTGTGCATACAGAACTGGGGTATAGGCTAGAGTTGCAGGAGCTGTGAGAGGATTCACCAGAGACAGAGTTTGGTGGGGCGAAGGACAGGCAGACTGAGGAGCAGCAGGGGTGAGACAGGAGAGGCCTGCCGTGCTATATGGATCACCTCCGTGGCAGGCAATCAAACTTGCACCAAAGAGGCTGAGGCTTGCTTGCAGTGCTGCTCTTTAACCTGCTGCACCACCAGGGAGGGCCTGTTTAGTTATGTTTAGATCTGCCATCTTTCTATGTGTTTTCTATTTGTCTTATCACTTTAGTATTTTTTTTAAAGATTTATTTATTTATTCATACAGAACTGGGGTACAGGCCAGAGATGTGGAGGGTGAGAGGATTCGCCAGAGACAGAGCGGGGAGCAGAACAGGCAGTTAGATGAAGTACACTGCTGAAGGGAGCAGTGGGCGGGTCAGGAGAGGTCTGCCACGCCATGTGGTCACCTCTGGGGCAGGCGGGAATCAAACTCATGCAGAAGTGGCTTAAGCGTCTTAGTGCTGTGCTTTAACCCACTGCACCTCACCAGGGAGGGCCTCACTTTAGTATTTTTTTTAATCTACCCTCACTTGAAGTAATAAATAACTTTATCCTTGGAAAGTAGCTGCCAGAAGTGCTTGCATGCTTGTCTAGAAACTGCTTTTTTAAATTTAATATGGTCTATAGGACTTTGAGCCCTGTTGGTTATCAGAATTGTTTTGAGTGGAAGCCACAAAAGTGTGGGTGTTGGGTATGTGGATTAGCTTCCCCCAGGAAGAATCTGAAGACTTATTTTTGTTGTTGGGTGCTTTTACTGAAGGGATAGTCTTGAGGAAATGGCTCCTGGCTCTTGTGGCTGTCAGCTCCTAGAAAGGATGGCTAGAGTCATACCTGCTGGCAGCAGCTAGCAAAGTATGTAGCCAAACTAGGAGATGGTGGAGTTTTTGTGTTTTTGATTGTTCCCATTGCACTGAGTCTGGGAGGGATAGTTAGCGCAGTGCATCTATGCCCACTTAACAACCCTTTATTCATTTTTGGTAGTCCCATGTAAGGAACACAAAAGCCCAAATGGCTCTCACAGGTAGGTGATTTGGGGTCCATTTCGCAGTTAGCAGTCTTAAAAGTCAGGACATTTACAAGGGGATGGATCAGCCCTTTCCTTTTCAGAGATGGGGTGGAGTTATGCTGAGATTGTATCTCAGTCTTTCCTGTCTGTTTTTATGCATTTTTTTCAGTTACCTGATGTGTAGGAATTACATAGTTTCTGGATTTCTTTAAGAAGTTAAAGGGAATTACTAAATTAATGTGTTTGAAAACTTTGTGTTAAAAACTTGAATTTTAAATTGCCAACTTTGGATTGTGTATGCATACAGACACACACATACACACATAATTTAGTTTACACACAGTTTGGCTTTTCTAAATTTAAATATATAAGGCTTTAAGTATTTTTTAATTTGAGTAGTGAGCTAGTAAATCATCTAGCTTCCTTTGATGGATGTTAAATTGGAAGCTTAAATTTAATAGTTTGATATGTAGGCACTTAAAACTTACTGTGTATGCTCTCTGGAAAAATCTGTGGTGGTTTGCTTGATATTTAGTTGTTGAATTTAGTTCCCTTCTTAGTGCAGATTCTTAGAAAAAGCACATTTTATGATCAGGTCTATTATATGTTTCCACTTTGAACTTAAGCAGAAGTAAGGATATGTCAGTTTAGTTCTTACCACTTTTAAGCCGCTGTAATTAGTATTATATTCATTCTAGATTTTCTTAATGTATTTAAAATATTACTCATTTGCATGCCACTTTTAAAATTGTTTTCTTGCAGGTCAGTCTTTGATAACTCAGTTAAAAAGGAACCAGAAAATCAAATAGCCATTTGAAAGAAAACAAGGAACATCCATTAAGTACAGAATATATGCTATTTGACAACTTTTACACCATATAACCTGATAGCTAAAGAAAAATTAGAGCTATATAAGCTATTAAAATTCAGTGCAATTATTAGAGTAAGAAAATTGTTCTTTTGCTTGTCTCCTGCTTCTTTTATACTCCTTTTAAGCCTATTTTAGAACACTAGTTCTTTTATTATTCCATGATCAATTTGTCTTCACTGCTGAATATGATTGTGTATGGTGTACCTCTGTGTTGGGTTGGGTTGGCCATTCTTACAGGTATGTACTTAAGTTAAACTGAAATTTTAATAGTTTTTAATCTTACTGTCTCTCTAGATAATAATTAAGTTGTGGACATGTACTTAAGAATCCTGAGTATTTACACTGTTTCTTATTAAAAATTATGATTTCGGCCCTCCCTGGTGGCACAGCGGGTTAAAGCACAGCACTAAAGAATTCTGCTTAAGCCACTTGCGCATGAGTTTGATCCCTGCCTACCCGGGAGGTGATCCACATGGTGCTGCAAACCTCTCCTGACCTGCCCGCTGCTCCCCTCAGCAGTGTACTTCGTGGATCTGCCTGTTCTGCTCCCCACTCTGTCACTGGTGAATCCTCACCCTCCGCATCTCTGGCCTGTACCCCAGTTCTGTCTGAATAAAAAAAAAAAATGATTTCAAGTGTTAGCTGTTATAAACTGCTAAAATATTGAGTTCAGGTAAGAGTGTTTAGTGAGGACTGCTTTGATTTTGTATATTTGCATTTTTTATTATGTATTTTGTATTTTACCTTGCGCTAAACAGAATGACATTGTTTTTATGTTCACGTAATTGCTCTTGAGGATATCATCCCATTGACTCTCATTTAGAGATGTCATCTGAAACAGTCCTGTGACTAGGAGTTTTATGTTTAGGATAACTTCCATTTTATAGTACCGTACTATCTTTTTATGAGAAGTCATGAAAAAAGTTTTCTCTATTTTAGATGTTGAAAAACGCATGCTTCTCCTGAATATCTAACTTTCATTAATGGGGAGTATGACTCCCTAAATTTGATTTATGCTCTCTTTACCCTTTGTTATTTGGATCTTTTTTAAACCCATGTAGGATGTGGCAGTTTTGTTTCTATGTTTTAGCCTTGTCCTGGCATTTTTTTTCTCCTACTGCTTTTCTTTTGTGCTGTGAAATTTGTTGTTTGAGTCTTGTAAACAGTCTTAAATCCTTCACAGAGTGTATTGAATATAAAAAGATTATATTGTTGCAATGACTTGTAGGCTGACTTTCATTCTGACATGTTTTCTGAAATTGTGTTTATGAAGGTTGCCATTTTATGTTCCTTTGACAAGTTCATTGGTCTTTGTTGTTGACTTTTCTATTATTTGATATTAATAAACAACTTTTACTTCTTAAAGCATCTTTTCTTGGCTTTTATGACCATTGTAGGTTCTTTCATTAAATTCCTTTGACATAACTCAGATTTTTCTTAAATGTCCATGTCCCTTCTTCACTTCCTGCTTTCCTTCCCTCATAAATATTAGCCATTTTATCACCTTCTAGATTATTTTATATTGCCAGATGTC